GCCGCCGCCAACCCCAGGTCCAGATGGGATGGGCACAAGTAGCAACAAGAGTCAGCTCTTTTTGTTGTTGCCTCTCCTTCTCGGGCAGAGGGCCATGGATGGTTGTGGACCTCATAAGGATGGGGCTCAGGGCAGTTATCCCTGTTGCCCACTGGCTGAGGCTGCCTATGCTTGGAGTAGTGGTTGAAGTGTGAGACTCAGGTCTGGAAGACCAGGGATCAGATCCCCATTGTGACATAAAGCTTGCTGTGTGACCTTGGGCCTGTCAGACTAACGTATCTGACAGGGAAAATTGAGGAGGGGAGATGGATGAATGAAGCCCTGTGCATCTTAAAGGAAGAGTGGGATACTATGTACCAAAAAAACAAACATGGCAAGCCGAGTTACTCTGAGATACCAATGTTTTTTTTTTCTGTGCTCTTCTTTTCCTGTCACAGTTCATTATTTATTTGTTTGTTTGTTCAATTTTTAGCCCTCCCTCCCCCACAAGCAGGCTCAGGGCAGGTTACAACATGGTTAAAACATACAACATAATCAAAATAAAACACAGCCTTAAAATCCATAAAATTATTAATTAACCAGTACACAGCATTTCTAAAATATGGGTAAAATCATTTGATGGTGTCTGCTACACAATTCTGATTGTGGGTAGCCATAGATGGAACAGTACAGAGCAAATGGGTGGGTGAGGAAATCAGCCATGATGGAACAGAGCAGGCATAGCAGGGGAGGCTTTTATAGATGAGTTGCTGCTGCCTCAACCATAGGCCTCGTAGAACATCTCCATTTTACAAGCCTTGTGGAACTGCATTAAATCCCACAGGGAGAATGTTCTACCAGGCTGGCACCAGAGCTGAGAAAGCCCTGTGAGGTAGGTGGGGCTGAGAGAGCTCTTTCAAGGGCTGCTCTTGAGAGAACAGCTCTGAGAGAACTGTGACTCACACAAGGTTACGCCAGCAGCTGCATGTGGACGATTGGGGAATCAAACCCGGTTCTCCCAGGTTAGAGTCCATGTTCTTAACCGCTTCACCAAACTGGCTCTCAAGGCATCGAAACCCTTGGCCAATACGTCTAGGG